GGGAGGGGGGGCTAGCACCGCACCGAGACTCACGACCGAAGGAGGGGGGGTTCATCATCTCTTGACGCGTGAGTTGTATATTGCACGGAAGATTATGGTGGCCATGGCTACAAGTTGCCCCCCCCCCCCTCGTTGACAAACACCATGATACATGGTTTTTAGCAACAGTGTAAAAAGAACAAAAGCATTTAAACGCGGTTTAAATGTATCATGAAAATGCTTTCATTTACGTGCCACGTTTTATATCAATGTAAGGGCAGTGACGTCATATCGCAAACAGGTGCTACTATGAAGACGAAGTGCGCCCCGACAGCGTTAAACGTTCGAGCCCGTGAGCGTAGCGACGATGTGATTAGACGAGAGGAGCTTGCGATATATACTAGCCTCGGTGCGACTGTGCGAGACTAATAAAACACATTCCTGCGGAGGGAGCTGGTAGTAACGTTGGGTTGCTCGGTCAATGGCCAGGGTCAACGGCGGCGTGGTGTATTCCGCAAATATGGCCGACTGTGAGGGCGGGCACAAGCCGGCGTGAATAGGTTAAACGTTGAGTTTTATAAGGGCACCACGGGGTGACCAGCTCCTCCCCACCCAGCCCCACCCCTCCCACCCCCCACCCAGCCCCTCCCCACCCAGCCCCTCCCCACCCTCCCCTCCCCACCCAGCCCCACCCTCCCCACCCTCCCCTCCCCACCCAGCCCCTCCCCTCCCTCTACACCCAGCCCCTCCCTGCACGACGGACGGACGGACACAATAATCCCCTGTGGGCTGGTGTAACCAGGAGGTTCCTACCAGTAAAATTGGGGCTCCAACATGATCGATTGCTGCAACTCCCTGAGCTGATCGTGATTAACGTAACTGGTGTCAACAGCTGGACCCTGCGTCGAACCGGCATAAGAGGATGACGTAGATCGTGCTGCGAGCAGGCATCTTCTTAGCACGCGTGTCATTTCACATCAGCAGTCGTCATGTGCTGCTGCTGCAGCTGCCGCTCCATGGAAGCGAATCATAATGTTCTATTCATCGCGGAGCATCGGATCGTTCCGTTCATTGATAGCCATTTCACAATCTTAAGCCGTGTTCCGAAAGTCAAGACTTCATTTTCCACGTCCTCTTAGGCCTTCGGGGTTTAGCACACACGGAATAATGTCACAGCTTAGCAGTGTGCATTAGGACGCTGTCTTTCCGACAGCTCGTTTCTTGACCTGAGGACGGCTGCTTGTGTTGTGGCCGAAACGTCGTGAAAATTGTATTATGTTATATTTTTATTCTTTTATTATCTCCCTTCTACGTGACTTTACCGAAAGAACCAAGAATATGAATCCCTGCAGTCGCGAAAGCTTTAAATCCAAATGTCACATCTGTGTTACATTTGACATTTATCCCGTCCCTGCCAAGTCGTCATTGAGCTTTGGGTGTTTTACTCGGATGGTATCATGTGTTTTTATTATTTCGACTGCTTTTATTATTTTTTTCTTAATTGCTGCTACATTGTTACATGCAAGTGATTGCATTGTGAAGGTTATCATCCTTGAGGGCGTTGCTCAATGTAGGCACATGCTGCATTGTTTTACAGCACGTTTCTATCCGGCACCAGTTAATGGGTGACTCTTATTTGTCATCAGACATAATGGATTCACACGTACCCACGCAGCCACTCGAGGCCGCTACATTCAATGAAAAATACAAAACACACAATATACGTTCTTAAAATCAAATCGCGATATTGAATTGTAACAATTCACGAAATTGCTGTGGGAGGAAGGGAGTTGGTGACTCATTCGGCAACCGCTCGCATTGATTCTCATGGGTGCTTTCTGCCTGGTTATAAACTAAATGCCGGATTGATTCATGATGAAGAATATGCGCCCCCTGTGGAGTGACATTCTCGGCGATTGTCGATATTATCATATGAGCGTTTGCCATGTATTTTGCATGCAGCAATAGCTTCACACTTGACTTACCTCTACAGATATAGACTGCGCATTTATAATATTTGTACCACTTATTTTACTTTGATGATACCCAGGTGTGTGAAACATTGTTCATATAAAAATATGCGTGTTTACCGAGCAAAGCCTCACGGAGTCTCAAGGCTATATCTTCACGAGGGGTTATCTTTTTCAATTTTTGGCCAATTCCACGGATATGCATTTTGGCTTGTGAGAGCGATCGGTTATACAACGATTAAAACATCCACGCCATCCATTCGCTCTGCCTGCCTTCATGAGGCTTTCTAAGTTGGGTCATCCAGGTGACAGAGGAGGGTGTATGGATTTAAGGTTATTCGGCCTGTCACAGCCAAACCTGGGGTTCACTGAGTTAGGGTTGCCACCTGTCCTGGGGTTTCCCAGGACCTCCTCTTGTTTCGGTCGCTGTCCTTGGACATCTGTGTGTCCATGGCCGAGATAAGAAACATCCCGGGTTTCTGTAAGCGCGTTTGTAATTCTCCCCGCTTTCGGTGACATGAGGCATTCCTCTTCCCGTGATATATTGTTCGTGCTGTGCCTCACGAGGTAGCAAGCTCACCCAGAGTGGTGATAGGATCTGTGAGCTAAGGAAGGATGCTGAATCTAAGTCGTGCTCCAGGGTGTGTGTGTGTCACATTGGTGCGGGTGCTAAATTACATTTTGACTTGAAACTTTCGTGACCGCAGGAATTCATATTCTTGGTTCATTCGGTAAAGTTACGTCGATAGAAATTTAAAATTAAATTAAATTAAAATTACAAATAAATTAAAATTTTAAATAAAAGCAAAAAGCCACGACGTTTCGATCGCAACACAAGCGGTCTTCATCAGGCGATCGAAACGTCGTGGTTTTTGCTTTAATTTTGATTTTAATTTTATTAATTTTATTTTATTTTCTACCTACGTGACTTTACCAAAAGAACCGAGCATCGAGGGTGCTTTACAACTTGAAATTATAATTCCTAACCTGCAATCACAACGACTACTGCCAGCAGCAGCAACAAACAACGACGACAAAAATTCCGCCCGTGAAATCAGCCACCTGCCCCGAACCCAAATGTCATCGTTCCCATGTTTTGTCAATTTTCTCACCGCGCTGCTCACTCCAACGACCCCCGGCGTCCACCGCCATTTCACTGCCCCGCGGTTAGATTGACGGCATGGGAATTAACGCAAACAAAATGTGCTCCATCCAATCCTTTGTATTCTGAAAAGATGGCGCGCGCGATGTCGGTCTGTGTGTTTTGTTGTTGTTGTATCGAAGCGTTAATGACGTGCGCGTGTCTTCTCCTCGCGCTCTCGTCGTCGCTACCCCCCCCCCCCCCCGTGATTGAACACTCGGAATATATGTTGCAGGTGCAGGCCCTTATGCGGGACGTGCGTGCCATTGTTGTTGTTGTTGGCCTTGAAAAAAATCGTGCAGAAATGGAAAACGAGTCAAACTCCCATTGACACGGAGGCACCTGGCTCTTTCTCTCTCTCAATAGGTCGTCAGGCCCAACCGCCCATGCTAATTTGTTTTTTTCCATTTGTCCTTATGCCGCTGCAGCTTGGTTCACGCAGCAGTAAGACTTACCATCTAAAGAGATATGTCACATTTCATCCGCGCATTTAAATTGTGCATTGAAATATACTGTATATATATACACACGCACACTGTAGTTAGCAACTGGGGGTGATGGGTAGAGCATTGGTGCTGTGGTTAGTGCATCGCACTATGAACCACGCTACTTGCGTCACTCCTGGCTGCAGTGAACACAAGTGGCGAGTGATATTTGACCCGGTCCCGGATGACACCCATTCGCCAACCCGCACTGACCAATGTACTGAAGGTACGTGCGGTCAAAACTCCCGTATTCGAGGCCTTCATCCAACAGTGGGTATATAAATGGGTTTAAGCGTGACTTCTCAGTGAAATTGGCGTGTCCGCGTAATCGAATGAGAATTTCAGTAGTTTTCATGTTCGTTGACAAATTCTGGCCAATGTTTGAAAGTCCACATTCCCGTGGTGAGGGCCTGAATATTCATGTGGAAACCACTGTTCAGGTATCACAATGTTGTACTCTTTTGAATCTCTGATGATGAGTTATGGGCTGTGTGACCAGGCATTGAACTCGTATCCATCCGATTGTGAGTTATAGACTCTGAAAGGGCAACACGTGGCCAGGTGTTCTATTGTGCTGTTTGTAGCCAGAAGAGGGCAGGTACAGCATTGGATTCTGCAATCTATCTTTGCAGAGCTTGAAATGTTATCGCATCGTGTATTTGGGTTTCATCTGATGCTCCATTGTCCTCCGTACTCGGACCCCGATTTTGTCAATATTTACCTAACACCTCTGGGTTCATTGCTTAAGCACCTTGGACTGATGTAA